TACTCAGCCCCAATGCTTAGACAAAATGCAAAACACAAAATATTCATAGAAATCTGCTATACTTCATAAAACTCTTATAATAAAAAATCAGTTACACATGTTCCATTTCTTCTTTTACTCTGCTTCTTTCAGCAGTTCTGTTTAATATTAAAAGTTCAACAATGTAAAAACTATGAGGCAATGAAGTATAAATTAGAAAAAATTGCATACCAGGAAATAGGCAATGAATTTAGCAACTTGAAACAGAGATATACAAAGTAATAATAGTTAAAAGTATTTAATAAGTTGTTATTGCTAGAGTTTCTTACATAAAAAATATTCATTAAATATTTAGATACATGATAAGTTTTACCCTGATATGAACATACTTTTTTTATCCCAAATCCTGATAGTCTAAAGGCAGTAGTATTATCATCCAACGAGCACTAAATTAGAGGACATGAGCTCTAGCCTTGTCTAGGCCACAAAGGAGTTATGCGCCTCTTCTCTTAAATTCTAGGGGCTTCTATTCCTTCTAAAAAAAGACTGTACTAGATGATTTCTAAGAACTTTCTCAGCTACAAAATTTTATGATTTTATGAAATTTTACATACCACCATGTGCATGCAGGCGTGCTCAGCCATGTCAGACTCTTTGTGAACCCATGGACTACATACAGCCTGCCAGGCTCCTTTGTCCATGGAATTTTCCAGACAAGAATACTGGAGTGGGTTGCCATTCCCTCCTCTAGGGATCTTCCCAACCCAGGGATCAAATTCATGTCTTCTGTGTCTCCTGAATTGGTAGGTGGATTCTTTACCACTGAGCCACCTGGGAAGCCCAAATACTGCTATAAAATCACATTTAAAAATGTATAACCCACTTTGAAAAGTGTCATTTACAGAATGATGCCTACAAAAATTTCTTCTATAGTGTTCAGTGTCTGAATTCACTGAAGCTACCTGAAATCTGGAAATACTGCAAAAGAGGCTGCCCCATTTCCTGACCATTACTCTAACACTCAGAGCTCTTTTCAAAATGTTACTAAGCCTGGAATTTTCATTTTCAATGAAAGCTGGCTCAGAACTTATTTTTCCCCCTAACCACTTCAAATGGAAATCAATTCAGGACTTTAAGTGCAGAAACAGCTATACAAGAAAACAGTTATTAATATCACAGATTGTCTAATACTTCACAGAATATATCAGTCAGCTTTTAACAGAGCACTTAATCTTTTCATTTTTCCATATATTTAACCATCTCTTTAATACTCTAGTCATAAAACAATATATCAAGTATTTTTATATGGCAGCCTTAGTTTTATAAAACACAACAGATCATCTTCTTTTTCTCCCAAATAATAATGTCTTTCCTCTATTTCTAAAATACAAACTTTTTTCATATTTAAAACTTTTGAAATCAGGATATTCCTTGGAGCTGTTGATTTCTCAGTACCATTTCACAGTTTAGGGCTGCATTTTTCTTCAGTAATGGCATGTAAAATAATGGTATGTCTTACAACTAATAGCAAATTAGATTGCTGAAATGCCGTAGTGCCTGTCACCTGCAGAATAACTCTAATTTCCCAAATGCTTCAATATCCTCCACTACATTTCTATCTCTACTACTGTATTTCTATTTATATGGAAATGACCATTATTACAAGAATATCAATGCAGAAATTATGAGAAACAAGTTTTTTAAGCAATTACTAAATGCCAGGCAGTACATAAAGCACTTTACATGTATTTAATTCCAACAACCTAGAATTTATTACTACTATCTCCATTTTACAAATGAAACTAAAGCTTAAAGAGGTTAAGGTAATTGCTCTAGGTCCTGTTCTCTGTTTTATCCCCCAGGCAAAGCCTATTGCAGAAAGAGCGCTCAATAAACATTTACTTAACAAGTGAATGAATGAAAGTTGCAAAGGAGTCTTATACTCACAGGCTCACAAAGAGAACGTACAATAAATAGAATCATGAAAGGTTAGTTAATTAACTACTTGGACATGCAATCCTGAGATCTGTGGTGTGATAGTCAAATAAAAAAGTGGCTCAGAGTATCTGCTCTGGAGTCAAAATATGTAAATTCAAACTTCAGCTCTGCTACTTGTGATAAATGATGTTGAATAAAGCAGTTATGGATCTACACGCCTAAGTTTTCTCACCTGTAAATTGGAGATGAAAACAGGACCTACTCCTCCTGGGAGTCGTGGCGATGATTAAAGGCTGATATAAACAAAAGGCCGTAACGTTGTGAGTGAGACCCAAGTGGAGTGATGCTGTTTGTAAGTTAAGTAAGATGGGCCTCTGCAGTCAATGACTCTAACCTTCAGAAATATGTTTCTAGTTCCAAGTTTCTAGTTCTGCTTGAAGTCTGGAGTGACCAGGCAATTAATGCCAGCTGCTGAGGATGATTCAGGATCCAGTGACTAGCTGGAACATCTGAGAAAGAGAAAGCTTTTCTAGGAATCTCTGGATTAGTCTAGTGGCCATTCCCTCAATCAGAGGAGTCTGGGCCAAGAGAATATAGTATACGGGGAAACATCCTATGTGTCTTCACCTCTGGGGACAGAACTGTTACCTAAGACAAAACTGACTGATGATTTACTACCCAGAGTGCTCGCCCTTCCCGACTATAATCCTGAAAAAGGTGAAATTTTAAGCTAGCTGGCAGGCAGGGCAGAGTACTGGAGCCAACTATACAATAACCTGCTTTGTATTAATGCAGGGACCCTTTTGTGATTTTTTTTTAATCTGTAAAGCACTTAAAACAGTTTCTAGAATATGGTAAGCAGTAAATAAATGTTACCCAATATTATTATTCAGTTCAGTTCAGTTGCTCAGTCGTGTCCGACTCTTTGAGACCTCATGAATCACAGCACGCCAGGCCTCCCTGTCCATCACAAACTCCCGGAGTCCACCCAAAATCATGTCCATCGAGTCAGTGATGCCATCCAGCCATCTCATCCTCTGTCATCCCCTTCTCCTCCTGCCCCCAATCCCTCCCAGCATTAGGGTCTTTTCCAATGAGTCAACTCTTCACATGAGGTGGCCAAAGTATTGGAATTTCAGCTTCAGCATCAGTCCTTCCAATGAACACCCAGGATTGATCTCCTTTAGGATGGACTGGTTGGATCTCCTTGCAGTCCAAGGGACTCTCAAGAGTCTTCTCCAGCACCACAGTTCAAAAGCATCAATTTTTCGGTGCTCAGCTTTCTTCACAGTCCAACTCATTAGCTCAGGATAATTCAAATCCTTCCCTACCTCAGTGCCTGTTCTCCCTACCATATTATCCATCTTCCAAACAGCCATGCTACTTCAACAGCATTTTCAATTTTCCCAAATATTACAGAGATTATTAAAGCACCTTACAAAGGGAATCTTACAACACTTCCTCCAACTCACAAAACGAAATCAGACAAAAAAATCTTATCCAGAACACCCATAATTTAAATGGGCATACAGAAAATGAGAAGTAAATAACAGGCTGACTTATTTTTCAAGTCCCACAGACACTTAAATGGGGCAGAGAAAAGGAGACAATCATGGTTCTAAGTAGACACTTCTGTAAGCATGAAAGAAGACACTTTTATAAGCAGAAATCTCTCTTTCTGAAAGCACATATATTTCTAAAGCTAAGCAAATGGTATGTCTATACTCTATTTACAATGTGCAGGTTGCAACCCTCAGTTTCATGGCTAATTTGAGTAAACTCAAATAGTCAAAATAATTGAATTAACACCCTGGATAGTATGGAGTAGCATATATTATAATTCATGGCTCAATTTTTTAAACATCTTATGTATAGAAATATAAATCATGATAAGAAGAAAGTTTTCTTAGGCACTATCTTTTTTGGATTAGTCATATGAGTTTGATCTAAATGTTATTATAGAAAATTTTAAAAAATGAAAGCAATGCATAAAATTATAGAGAAAAGTAATAGTTTATATAATTAAAATTTTTTCCTGTTTTCCTATGTTTTCTATTTCTTTAATAAAGTCTAAACCTGATTTAGTATTTGGGGAATTTTATACTTTGCTATCTATCAACAGATCTGTTTTCCAATATCTAGAAACTGTGTCCAATTCAAACGGCTTACGAACAAAAACATATGTGTCGAGATTTTGTTTGTTTTAGTTTTCAGGTAATAGCACTCTTAACTAGACAGAACAATAACTTTCTAGGCAATGTTGGCTCATTATACAATTACAGGGAAAAGACAACTGAAAACAGAATATCATTCTATGAGATTCTTATGGCTATAAAAACCAAACTAATTAAGACTTAATATAGCTAAAGTACAACTGAAATTCTCTATTTGGACTATTAACATTACATTTCGTAGTCAGCCTTATCTTTGTTTTCAAAGCACGAACTAACTTGACCAAAATTTTTCTGTGCAAAGGAAACTACACAGAATTTATCTGAATGAGTCACTAAGGAAGGACTCACAATACGATGAAGACGATTAGAGAAAATGATATCTAGAAGCTGTAAATTACTATCTCTAATTCATATGCCGATTCCTACTGAGCCAAAATGCCTACAAAACCAGGTTATTCCTACCAAGTATCTTGTCTGGTTTCTCACACTAGTATATTTCAAAGGCATTTTATGAGAACTCTGCTATATATTCTACCTACCATCTGGTTCATATTTAACAATGTTTCCCATCCTGTTCCTTTTTAGGTTCCAAAAACAGATGTCTCTGATGGCACATAAATGTGGCAGATCACCCTAATTCAGCAAACTTCTCTGGCTTCTTATTCTTCCCTTGCATCAAAGTGAACTTAAGCTATCTGTGACCTTTTGTTCCATTTACCTCAGAAGTAATAAAGTAGTAATATGAAATAATTTTAAGTATGTAAGAAAAAACCATGTGAGTTGAAAGTTTTCTTTTAAGCCAAATGTATTAATAATATTAATAAACAAAATCTGTATAAAAAGTGCTAGTTCCTCTACACTGTAGTTGGTAATATACAGTTACGAGTGGCAGTCTTAATTATTTCTTACCTGCCCCTTTCAACTGCTAAGGCATCAAGTTCATCAAAGAAAATAATGGAAGGAGCCACGGCTCTTGCCTTCCGGAAGATCTGGTGGAAAGAGTGCCACATTAGCTAAAGATCAGCAAACTTCAGAAAACTCCATCGCTAGTTTTAGTTAGGTTAGAAACAAATCAATTATGTACCAGTCAACTAGCTCAATAACTTTGTATACAACCTGTAACAGATGTATTCACACTTCATAACGGATGTAAAATACCCTTCTATCATGATGCTTACTTGCAAACAGACAAGACATCAATACATATTCTTAGAGGTGTGCAGGATTTGGCTTAAGTAATTTGGCTTAAGTAATCAGAAAATCTCACTTAAAATCCCACCTCTGCCACTTAGTAGCTGTGTGATTTCCAGTGGATAACTTTACTTCTCTAAACTTCAAGTTCCATATCTCTAAAATGGAGATTATGATAAATGCCGGCCACAAGAGTTTAAGAACTGAATTTAAAAAGATGGCAACACATTTAGGATAATGCCTGGAACATGGTAACAGCTCAGTAAATGATGGTTATTATTATCTATCATAAAAACAAGTTTAAAAGAAAAATAATAATGTGTAAAATCAGCCAAAATTTAGCATATAAAATACCCAAAAACCTAAAAGTCACATGCCTTGCTCATTTCTCTGAACACGATATGGAAAAACATAGTTAAAACTTGGAAGAGAATAGATTGCATAGGCCAGAAGTCAATCAGGCTATCAAAATCAAAGACTGACTGGACAGCCATGAGGCAATATGAAGAAATGGGCTAGAAAAAGTCAGCACAGGCAGAAAGAAATTCAAATTTGTGTTACCTGGCACAAATTTGTGTGACCAGGCCCCCATTTTCTGGTCACAATTATGATGACCATAAAAATACAGAACAATTACCAAAACATTAGTACTAAAAAGCACCACCTTTTTCATATTTTAATGAAGAAGGGTGCTATCATTATCGGTTAATATTTTATATGATCACCATCATCTATATTTCAAGGAGAAAAAAAAAAAACAAAAAGTAACTTAAAACTCTATAACTTAAAACTTTTTCTCACATGCAAAACAAAGTATTCCAAGCTCTAATACTCTTGGTTGGTATCCACATATTTCATAAATGGAGATAATCCATTCCACTGCTATTTATGTATTTTTGCCCTTGAACAGCATCTGGGAAGATACATGATGCCCATGTGAGGCAGGCCAGCCTTTGTTTAGGACACCAAAACTTATGGTCAAACTACTATAGTTTATCCCACTTCAGTGCCTTGGTTTTGCATGAAATTTCCCAATTGTGCAGCTTCAGCAATATGAAGTAATCAGTAGACCAATCACTAACTTTAAAATTTAAGAGAGAGAAGGGGGATGCATTTTCTAAATCACTAGTCAAAGGTAAAGTAAATAAAATAAGGAGAGTACATTGAAATTTTCATATACTAATAAGCTTATCTGATTTAAAGGACTACCTGGTTTAAAGGATTTAAATCTCATTTTAACATCATGTGTTAGCTGTTAAGTATAAACATATCCTTCTTTTTTTAATGGGATGCTGATAGTTGTTAAAAAATATATGTGCTAAAACTAGAGGCTAGAAATATTATGATGTTTAAAAACAGAGACTATGTATTGTAGATAACTAAAATTAATTTAAAAATAATATTTGCCTGAATAAAAAAATATACCACTAGAATTTAGATTTGGAAACTGTAAACCTGTAACCCTAGAAAAAAAAAACCTGGAAACTAGAGGACAGAACTGTGGTTATCCTATGCAGAGTTCCACTTTAAGGCATAATCTTACCTCTCTAACTGCTCTTTCAGATTCACCAACATACTTGTTCATTAATTCAGGCCCCTGCATGAAAAGAAAACAACTGTTCAGCATCTTTATAAATCTAGTCACATGATTATGTCTAATAAAAGAGAAAATATAAGCATAAAAGAAAAAGAGGAAAAAAACAAAAATCTGCTTTTCATTAAATTAGTTCTTTTTGCATGCTTATTTTTACTGGGTGTTATTTATGCTTCAAAAATCAAAGCCATTCTGTATTCTAAAAATTGCACATCAGTATACAGTGTCTGTGACTAAACATGATAGTTAAACATCTTATTCATCATCCACCTACACATCCACCCATATTTTTACAATGTATCAAACATGGTGCTAGGCACTGAAGACAGAACAGTCTAGTACTATCAGCAGGGCTCTCCAACAAGAAGCAAGATCTCAGGGCTATTCTTTTTATGATTCTATGATAATTCTCGAAAAAAGGAATGGGAATCATGTAATCAGTGACATCTGAGTGTTTCCAATATAAATGCTGCTCTCCAGCTCCTAGGTCTCATTTGACTTGGCCATGAAGACACTGACTCTACGGGTCTGCAGGGCCAAATGAGCCCTTCTCAGCCACTCTTCCAGTCAAAGCAGATAATTTCTATAGACAAAATCTAAGGACCACCAACACTGCTAACCGTCGCTCCAAGTATCACACTGGGACAATGACAATGACCCCTGTTACCCTCCAAAGTGTCTATTCACTCAGCCTCCGTCTGTATCTCCCTTCAGATATCTGCTACTAGGCACTTTATCCAGATGAGGATAAATCTCCTTTCTCTTCTGTGTTCAGCTGTTTCAGAAGGGATAAGAAGAATGAAAGGTGTGGGCTTCCAGTAATAAAATTCTACCAACTTTTACTAACTGGCCATCAACAGAAGAATCCTCATAAAAGTGCCTGGACTCCCAGTGATTATACTGCTTATCTCTGATTCAGAGATGCACTTTTTTTCAACATTCAACATTTCTGAACAGTAAGACTTTTCTTTCTTAAGTACCTAAAATATTATATTAATATATAGTATGAAATGGTAGGCTTTCTTTTTTAATCACACATCTATCTACTTTCTCATGCTGTAGAATCATCATATCACAAGAAGCCATGGTATTAAATAATCATAATAATAATACTGTCCTGAGAATCACAACTATTCCCTTCAGATTTGGTATAAAGTTTGTCCAACAAATGCCAGATGTCTTTCTCAGCTATGCAAACTTTATCTCATTGTTCTTTCCAGCATTTGGCTTCTACTGATATCTATCCTGACACAACTCCAGATACAGCATGTGTGATTTTCTCTCTACACATGCTTGTGCACTTGCATACACATGCACGTGCACACACACATCTTATTTTGAACAAGATTCATGTTCTAGCCCATGCAAATTATGGGTCTTGATAATTTAGGTTAGGTAACTAGACACTGACTTGAGTATTTCCTAAACAATTTAACACAACTCACATAAAAATCAGACTGACTGAAGCACATGGAGATTCCCTAGCAGAATGTCAACTAATGCTACAAATTGGTATGGGTAATACTTAGCTTCAGTTAAGACACCATATTACAAAGAAAATTACTTGTATGGCATGGCAAGTATTAGGACTGAAGCATGATTAGCTGCCACTCAAACACAGAAAAGGAGCCACTTAAGAGTCAAGAATGCTCCCAGAAAAAGCAATATTTCAAGTGAGTCTATAGTTGACTTATCACCCTCAAAAATATGAAATACATCAAGTGTGCTAAGTCACTTCAGTCATGTCCTACTCTGTGAGACCCCCATGGACTGCAGCCTGCCAGACTCCTCTGTTCACAGTATTCTCTAGGCAAGAATAGTGGACCTGGTTGCCATCAAGACCCAGAAATAAATCCAAAAGGTTTGTGGTGAGCTATATTAGATGCTATTATATGCACTTTAACTGCAGAAGAACTCTTACCGTGTTAACTCAGGAGTTCATTGACTTTTCAGTTATACACACGACTTGAGTTTGAACTGATTTAAGAGTTCAGAACAGGTGGAGATTAGGGGGCAGAAAGAATGCAGCAAAAGTTAAGGCTACTTAAAGTGGGAGGCAGAGCCATGTCAAAAACAAGTGTAAATTTTATCTTGCAAGCAATGGGAAGAGTCTTAGGGGAGTTAACTGATAATAGCGGTATCATGGAAAGATGATTCTAGCCAAAATATAAAGGATGGCTTGAAGAAACATATGAAACCATAAATAGAGACAGCAGTTATGAAATTCCTAAAACATTAGCAAGAAATGATGAGGCACAGGTTTAAGGTAAAACAGTGGAATGGTAATGAGAACAGAACCACATAAACTATTTAAAAAGATAAAATAAGCTTAATTTGTTAGGAGTAGCAAGATGTGAAAGTGAGAGAGAACAATATAGAATACTTACACAAATTTAAATTATATATTGCTGATGTTCACAAGGATTTAATTCATAAAGGAAACAAGGATGCTCAATATATTCAGGTAACAACTCTCAGAAATGTATCTCATTAAAAAAACTCATCCAAAATGATTAAAATTAAAAACTTTGTAGTCATAAACATAAGTGCTAACATTTATTGAACATTTCATATGTGCCATGAACTCTTCTAAGCACTTTAAATATACTGAGTCATATAAAATGATAAAGAGATGCAAAGCTACTAGGACGACTTTCCATCTGTGAGTAAAATAAAGATCCACACAAAATCAAAGGCAGGAAAGATCAGAAACAAACATTTAGCACCTTAAATTCTTTGTTGAAATACAGACACACTGAATCATTCAGTTTTTCATTCAAGGGCTATATATTAAGTGCCTACAGTGAATTTATGGTTTAAAAGATTACTAACATAATCTTAGTCTTAAAATATAATAATAATTATATTCTTATAAATTAAACTATAGTGAGAAGAAAATATCACAACTAGATAGAGAATGCTATGAAGAGAAACAAAAAGAAAACAAAGATTTCTTCCAGGTAAAGGAATCAAGGAATAATTCTGAACAACAATGAGATCACAACTATGTCGGGTCATTTAGAATGGATGTCATTTAGGATGGGTGTTAATGAACTAGAATAGAAAACTAAAAGCTACCAAAAGGAAACAGCCAGAATGCAGAAATAAAATATCTGGAAGCAATAGAGTTCATCATCAGAAAACAGGTTTTGGGGCAACATGTTGGGAATAACCAGGCAAGAAGAGCAATGCCACAAGGGGCAGAGAGCAGACAGTGTAGAGTCTGCGAATCCTAGGTGGAAGAGATGGTGGGGGTGGTGGTGGGGCCCACGGAGGAACATCAGTGCAGAGCTGAGTGGTGGCAGCCACCTAGCATGAGATGTCAGAGACCAAGAGGGGTATGGAGAACTTTCCACAGAGCGGGGGCTCGCCATAAGGTAATAGAGCTTGGTTTCTAAGTTCCCCATCCAAAGGTATGCAAACTGCTTTAAGAATCTCATACATAAAGTGGTATAGTATTATTTGTAGGTAGATTGTAAATTAAATATGTATACTATAAATCCTAGAACAAATATCTTTTAAAAGATAAAACCAAGAAGCTGAACTATTGAGAAAACAGGGGAGATAAACTAGAATACCAAAATAAACTAATCCAAAATTTGGTGGGGAAAGGGAGGAAATAAAAACAAATCAAATGAACAAAATCATGGGCATTAACAGTCTTTCAAGTCATAAACATGTCTGATGAAAGGAAGACAAGTTTTTAGTATTTTTTAAAATACCTCTACAACAGGTGCTTCAAAAGTACTGCAACAAGATAACATTGTAACAAGTACATAGTTTAGAACATGTGGGGATCAGGGCAGAACAGTCAAGGATAAGAATTTAAAAAGGATAGGAAGAATAACTCAAAGTTCAGGTGGACAAAATCCAGCTGCTCCAAAGATACTACCAGTCAGTGGGTTATCTGATAGCATCAACACAGAAATCCTTAAGAAATGAAAGGGCATTTTATCTTTCTGCCTGATTTTTTGAGTAATATAAAATGCAGCATGAATAAATTTTATAAAACATTAACAAGGTTAATTATAATGTTCTCCTCCCCCCACAAAGAAAACTGTCAGCTACTTCTCTGTCTAGCTTCCTCATATCTTTAAAAATAATCTTTTCAAATTATTTCAGAGTAATAGATTATGCCTACCATAAAAACCTATATTAGGCTAATTAGGGGGCAGATATGCACGAAAAGCATAATTGTGATATATTACAAAATATTATTTAATATTTAAAGGTACTTCTACATCTGACTGAAATCTACCAATAACCAAGCAATGCATAAACTATCTGGAAACAAAGTTATTAAGAAAACTTGCTTGGGACAGTGCTTTTGATGACTGAATGTCATTTATACTTAGTGTATCAATTGCTTGTACACTGATACTTAAACAATCTCCAAGCAATCATGTTTACACAAAAGAACTTTTTTTAAGCTAATTCCCCAAAAGTACTACAGAGACCTCATCACCAACAATTTACTTATCTTAATTTCTACTTCCCAGATGGGGCTAGCAGTAAAGAACCTGCCTGCCGATGCAGGAGACATAAGAGACGCAGGTTTGATCTCTGGGTCGGGAAGATCCCCTGGAGTAGGGCATGGCAACCCACTCCAGCATTCTTGCCTGGATAATCTCATGGACAGAGGAGCCCGGCAGGCTATAGTCGACAAAATTGTAAAAAAGTCGGACACAACTTAGCACACACACATATGCTCATACTAAATAATACTGTGTGCTTTCCATGGTACACATATCTATGTGAATGCACAAAGGGAAATTTGAAATGATACACACCATACTGAGAAGAATGGGTTCGATCCCTGGGTCAGGAAGATCCCCTAAAGAAGGGCATGGTGACCCACTCAAGTATTCTTGCCTGGAAAATGCTATGGACAGAGAAGCCTGGCAGGCTACAGTCCATGAGTTCGCAAAGAGTCGGACACAACTGAAGCAACTTAGTATGAAGTAGCTTGAAATAACTATAACATGAATAACGTGAATAAAGAC